TACCCAAGTCTTTCATCTAACTTTGTGATATGTTCTCTTTGCTCTTCTGTGAAACAAATGAACATATTACAAACACTGAACTGAATCAAGTCTTGTATGAATCGAAACAGAACAGAGTCGTAGATCAAACCAAACTGATAACAAAGAGAAAATTTGAACGAAGCAATTCGATTTTGACAATTAATCAAATCAACTGTGTATATTAAGTGTATACCATAGTAGTCTTTAAAGAAGCCAGTTCTACAAAATCAACCATTTCATCCTCCTGATGAATTGTGATATGGTTATTGGTACAAAACCCAACACAAGTGTCTGGCTGTGATCAAAAGGCTCAAAGAAAATATATTGTTCTTACATTGGGCGTGAAAGATTTTAAACGAAAGAAGGCTTATCTGATCAGCTGCAGCAATGGATTCGAGAATTACCCGGGCTCGTTAGGGTAGTTCCGTCATTTGATAGACAGGAGGCATGTTGCTCCAAGAACAAGACCCAACTCCTGAGGATGCTCCAATACTCATCTGCATATAGTCATTTCCTATGTCATCACCAAGGAGAACCGCGAGTGCGTCGCTCATGCTACCCGTCTCTTTTACAATCCCTAACCCATGGTCGAGCCAGCTAGATGCAAGCAAAACGTCAGGCCGTGTTATATCCAAGACGGGTTTCCGCTCTTTTTCTCTCAGCCCTGCATAATTTTATATTGCTAGGTGAGTTTCTTGATCAGGGTCAAAATCTCAGCTACAAGAAAACGAATTGGCGCAAGGATGCTTTCTCAAGATGTAAAGACAGGCTACCAAATAGAATTATCAGGAAGAAGATGAAATATAATCAACAAATTACTTCAAGTGACTCACTTATTGGATTTCCATCTGCATTGTGTTGTGTGGAAATTGAAATCTTGGAAAGGATCAAACTCTTCAGGGAATCGTCAAACTCCTCTGATTTAATTTGGGATACACCACCCTCAGCTAAATCAGCTGATGGAGTAGTTGAAGCGCAATTCTCGAACAAACTGTTCTTTGTACCATTATTTCTGATCTTGGCCTCCAGAAGCAACATATCAAGTAGACCGGTATCACAATTTGAAAAACAATCTGACTCCGCTTCCCATGTTAGTGGTGGTGGAGACTGAATGTACGTATCAATGGGATCAAAGAAATTGGAGTGTGGAGGAGGTGACGATTTCTTCCACTGATCAAATGTTGCTTCTGAATATTGGAATGAAGGGAGCTCCAGCTTCACTGCCCCAAATGAGGGCGTTGAAGTAGGAACAATGCCATCCGTAAGGGTATGGCTATCTGGAATCACAACAGGTGAATGTTGGTTTCCATAAGGAGGATGATCGACATCACAAGGAACTGAGAAACTGCAAGTATTCAAAATCTTTTGTGAAGCTGTGTTCTGGAAATGTTCAGGCGACGGGAATTCTTCCTTTATGCTACTGCTGCACCCAGGATACAACGATTCAGATCCCCGAAGCCGCTTCGAGGAAGGCATTAGTGGTGTCATGAAGTTTTCATACCGAGGAGAACTTGCACCATTTCCGAGAAATTTGCATGCAGCCATATCTGCTAGGTCAGAAACACCAGGTACCATGTCGGTAACAAAATTAAGACTTTCAAAGAAGACATTAGAATCACAACTCCCCAGCTGCAAGAAATCTTCATGTCTTCTATCTCCTCCTAAAATTCTACTCTCTGTATACTCTTGACTCCACTCCAGTACTTCGACATGCATTTCAGGAGGATAAAGTGGTAAACCAGCTCGTTGTCGCCTCTTGATGCGAGTGTTCCAATAATTCTTTATCTCATTATCTGTTCGGCCAGGCAACTGGATCAAAAAACACTCTCACAGATTAGTCTCCGGGAACACTTTAAAAAGACTGAGAAAAGGAAACATAACCGCTTAGGCTCCTTCACACACACAAAAAAAACACAACTTACATGCGCAGCCATACGAGCCCATCTATTTCCCATCTTAGCATGCAATTCAACAATGATCCGTTCTTCTTCTTGGCTAAATGCTCCTTTCTTCAAGTTTGGCCTCAAATGATTAGCCCACCTTAACCGACAACTTTTACCGCAACGAAACAAGCCCGTGTGTTTCTGCACAGCGTTCCAATTACCCTCACCATGCTTCTTCACATAGTCAATAAGAATGTCATCTTCAGCTGAACTCCATGGCCCTTTCTTCAAAGCATTCCCTTCCCATCTACTACTTCTACAGTCACTTCCATTATCACCACCTGGTGACTCGTTATGGTCACTCTCATTGCTCGTGTAACTCATCTCTTTCTAATTTAAAGCAAATCAAATTTGCAGCACTTGAGACATCAAACACCTACCTAAAACATGGTTTTAATCAAAGATATTTTAGAAACCACG